CGAATAACTCCTAAACTACTGGGCCGATTTTGGTTCTGTAAATTTTGTATTTTGTAGAAACGCATGGGCTATAAGTCTATTGGACAAAATTAAAATTTGCAATTACGTAACATTTTTTAGAATTAAAAATGTAACTCTAATCGACGGTTTTCACGGGAAAAGTCGTTAAAACATGTGAATTTCTTGGGTTAGTATTAGCAAATAATGCTGGAATATAACGGTAGTGCTTGCGAGTTAGTTTGTGTAATATACATAATATATTTTAAACGATTTGTAGCATTTTTTTTACTAAAATACTTTGGGAGTTCTCATTGCACTTTCAGCGCAATTTTGAAGTTATTTTAATCCAAAAAATGAAACCAAAAACAATTTTTAAACATCATTTATTTTTTTAAAAGCATTTTACAACAATTTTCACTTAAAGCTAACAAATTTCGCTAGGCGTTTATAATAAAAATCCCAATTATACCACGCTGCTTATAAAAATTTTAATTTCTTTTTGCACTAAAGTTACCAGATTTACAAACAGTTTTAAGCAGTTTTTGACATATAAATTATTTGTTCGTACAGTAAAAGTTAAAAGTATTTCTCATTACTATCTTATGTCTATAAAAGTACATATTTACATAATTACAAAACTATTTTTTTACATTTGTGTAATATGTAAGGATAATACTTGAAAGATCACAACATACGTTGGCTTAGCGCAACAAGTTACTATAAAAGCTTTTAATTTTTTAATAAAAATATGGAGAGGTCCAGCTCGCTGCTCTCTTTTTGCAATTTATAACGTAAATATATCTCAATATGAAATTCTGAAACTCTATTTGGCTTCAAAAATTTTTTTTAATTAATTTTTTTTTTCTCTATTTTGTAAAAGATTATACTTCTTTCGAACTTGAGGCTTATTACCAATTTGCGCCTTAAAAACTAACTCGTTAATATTTTTTTGCATAGAAATAAAGGAATCTCGCTACTAAAACTAAAGTAAAACTAAGAAGACAGTCTCATTCCAGAGTCTCTATCGGCTCAGCAGCCCGTTGCATGAGTGTGGTTCTGCCTCCAACGCTCTGCATCCAGCTTGTCACCCGCCTCGCTGCAGCGTTGGCATCACACGTAGCTAAGGCGTCTATTCTGCGATCGCTTTCTGCTCGAAGAGCAGCTGTAATTGTGGCTGTGATTCGTGCGTATGCTACTGAAGTGGCCCAAACTCATGCTGAGGTTCGAGTCGAAGGCAGTTTGCGTCTGTGAGCGCGGATCGGTCATGAGTGAGCAGGAGGTGGGCACCGCTTGGCAGTAGCGCAGCAGCTGCTGCTTGAACGCCGCCGTGGTGAGCGTGTACAGCACCGGATTTAAGGCTGAATTCACCGGCAGCACGAGCACGGCGAGCCAGGCGTAGAGCGAGGGTGAGATTGCGCAGCCCGAGAGCGCTGCCACCTTGACGACAATTATCGGCAGCCAGCAGGCGCAGTCAGTTGTAACAATTATCGCGAAACTTTATGAAAACAGAAATAGAAATGTGGTGCATTATAAAAAATAGTGGGGTTGACAACAGATTAAACACAGAGTTGGGTTATGCTCGCATAAAAACCAACTATCTTAAACTTCATAAGACTTCCGGGGCAATCGAATGCTCTGAAGTCTATTCTTTTTATCCCCTCTACAAATGCTTTCTTTTTTCTCTGTTCAACCTTTCTAACGATTTCCTAAGCAGGTGACTTAGCCAACATAAACCCGCTTCATTAGCTTCACTTGGAATGATTTTAGAATTTTTCTAAACAATTTCAACTTTTTAGCATCAAAAGCTTTAAAGATTGTCAAATTATTTGATAAATAAGCCAATTGAAACTACGGAATTACTTTTTTGAGAATCTGTTAGATTTCAGCAAGGTCCTTTCTTACCGCAATATGCTTCTAAGTTTCTGACTTAAACCAAGAAGTTATTTTGTAAAGTATTTTTCGGTACCCGAGTCATGGAGATAGACTAAATTTTGATTGGCAAGTTATCCTAACAACTGCGACTCGCACCGAAGCTTCGAATATCAATTATAGTCGGTTTCTCTTAGAAAAAATGTGCTGAATTTGTATACAACATTAACTGTTTCAGCGGACTGGTCTATTGTCAAAACGCTTGGGCATTCAGCAGTCTATTCAGCTAACGTTTTCTTCAGCTGAATAAGTGCCGAAAGGTCTGAAAGCCAGTTATGTTCAACCTTCAGCGCTTTTGTCTACCTTTATTACGCTAAACTTTCTTGAGCTGAATAAGTGACAAATGCAAACTATTGGCTACAATTAGCCTTCCTTTCACTGTTTCAAGCTGGAGTAGAATCTTGTAGTCAAAATGTATTAAAACAAATCGAAGCCTTTACTTATTTGCTCCTGCTTCCTTTGGGCTCGTAACTAATACCCAAAAGCATTTATCCATCGCTAGCCTTTAAATTGAATGCCTTTTCTAAAATTTCTCATTAGTTTTTGGTTTTTCACGCTCTCCGTGTACATTGGCCGCCCTGGCCCGTACAAACAAATAAAATAAGCACAACAAGCGACAGGAAAACAAATAGAGATCACTTACCGCGTAGCCACAACATTTTCACGTCCACTCAGCGTGCTCCGCATGCCGCCGCCCGAGTCGCGTATCGCCTGCAGCATGCGAATGTACGAGTTCGATATGAAAATCAGCGAGACGGTGTTAATAAGTATGAACAGCAGCGCGGAGTACTCCCAGCCCTGCGAACGAGCAGAAGTAGAAAACAAAAGAATCAAATTTATGGCGTAATAATTGAAAGATGGGAGACTTAGAAATAATATGGAAGGGTGCATGTAAATATGTAGCGACGCATAACAACGCCATTTTTCAAAAAATCACAATTTCTTTGGCAGAAGAGCAAGAAAAAATCGAAATGTAATTTACATAGCACGACAAAAGTGACGAATTGTGTAAACAAAGTGCTTGCGACGCCTACATACGCTTCACCAAATGCAGAAAACCATGTGCCGAGCTATATGCCGAAATTCATAAAATTTCCCATATAAAATTGTAATAATAAATAAATGAAGTACTGAAGAGGCCTTAAAATAAAAAATTTTAAAATAAAGATTTTTTGTCATAATTCGATAATTTATACAATCAAAAGTAGCTCCCTACAGGGTTTGTCCGGAAAGTAATAGGACTGAGTCAATTCAAAAAACTTATTACAATTCTTTAAAAGCTTTCAAAATAGGCTGCCAGTGCGATTTCCAAACATTGAAGGCATTCTCCGGGATAGCCATGAGGGCTGAGGTGCATTCTGCTGCTTGGATCCACCCTGTTGTCTCAAGATGCTTGCCTTTCATCGGTCTTTTCAGGCAAGGAAACAAAAAAGAAAGTTCGGGGGGCTACACCTGGGCTATAGCGCGGCTTCGGAAGCGTTGGGGTGCCCACGATGGATACCCGGTTTGTCCAGGAGGAACAAATTCATGGTGGATGATGCCTTTGATGTCAAAAAGGACAATGAGCATCGTTTTCACTTTGCTCATTCTTCCCTCTTTTGACGACGTCGCGCGAAAATGTTGACTCTCCAGGTGCTCGGAGACAACTGACCAGCCGCTCGTTCGTTAGCTAGGAATGCCCTCTACCGAATCCAGTCGAAAATCAGTCCTATTATTTTTCGGACAAACTCGGTTTATCTAATAACTTAATAACAAAGCGTTGTCTATAATCTATTAATAGTTTATAATTTTTTTCGAATTTTCCACAAGATTTGGTTCACTGGGTATTTACTCATTTTTGCTAGATATACATATATTCTACAATTTATATTTAATGTAGGTATATTTTATTTACTTTTCACTCTCACTCACCTTTGCAAATGGATCGTGTATGTGCAGAGAGAGACAAACACCGTTAGTGCCATAGAAATGACCACCAAAATATTGTATCGGCAGAAAAGGCAAAGCGGCAAGCACGAACGACATACCCCACAGTAGACCAAGGCGAAAAGCGATACTGCAAATAGAAAAATAAAACTGATAAGTAAAAAAACGAATAAAAAGTTCAATTTAGGATAGAGAAATGAAAGCAAATGAGAGAAATGGACAAATAGATTTATCTGCATAATGAAAATAAATTAAAAAAAAACTTTCATGAGCTGCAAACGTGAGAGCAAGGAGTCAAAGCAAGCGAATTGTTGAAGAAATGTAGGCATTAAGAAGGGGTTTTCATGGTTTTCGAAAGATGTATAGTCGAAATGTCTCACCAATAACTTAAAAAAAGTCCTCCGTTGCTGTGGTTCATAGACATAGATTTGTTTTTGGAAAAAATATGGTATTTTCAATTGCATTGGGTCATTACATGAGCTTCAATGCGATTTGAGGCATTCACTTATAGAGACACAGACATTTTTCATATGGTCAGAAGTGCAGAAGTGGAAGCTGAAGGACCTTCATAGCATTCCCACAACACCATACAGCTCACAGAGCATTTCCTTCTTTGTTAACTGAGCCAACCGACTTGATACGAAAAGTATTCCAGAATATCGCTTTATCAAAAACGCAGTCGCCTTATTGTGATATCGTCGGTTATGACATTTTAAGGCAACTTGAAATCTATTTCACCCAAATCAAAACTCTATTCACGCTCTACTGCTAAAAGCCAAGAAAGCTGTTCAATTCTACTGTGTGTTAAGCTCTTGAAAATGCTGGCCGAGCGACGTAAAAAATTAATGCTTTAATGTATCGGAAAAATCGAAGGCAAATGGGGACCCGCCAAGAGTGAGAATAATAAAAATAAAAAAAAGGTATGCAGTTATAAAAAATCGCACTAAATTCAGTCACCAGCGCTTCGTAGTCTAAGTGTTCATGTTGTTAAAGCTCGAATTTCATAAGCAATACACAGCACAACCAAGCAGTCCGACACGCAATCAGAATCCAGCTGTTCTGCAATGAAGTCACACTCCACACTGGGAGGGTCACTGCACAGAAAGCGGGTGACCAGCAAAACTCGAGCCACACGAGCTCGCCATGTCACCTCACACCTCAGTTTCCATAAGTCACGTTTTACTTGTGCGAAGCGCACAGAACGCTGGCCGTGAGTATATGAGAATGTATGTGGTGTGTGGAGATATTCCTTGGTTTAAGGCTGTGGCTTCGAACCTTGTGCAAACAATAACAAATAAATATGAGGGATATGCATAAGCAGGTAGAAATTGCTTCGAACTGTTAAAGAAGTTGGCAAGAAACTTGCTTGCATGATTAGAACGTAAAATTTAATTGAAAATCTTACAGAAGACCTTGCTGAGTACAAGGCAAAGGTAAGTTCACTTTTCACCCCAAAGAATTTGAGTTTTCTCATTTTTTTTAAGAAAACAGCACTTATGTTTACTACTCGCAAAATCTCGAGTACAATCACCTCTTGAAGATCTCAAGGGCTCCGCGACCTGATCTCATGAACCTACATAACTCTGAACTATAGGAGTGTCGGAAGACAGATCTGAGGAAACCCTTTCCTAACCACAGTGGCCTAGAATTATGACTGTCCATAGAGTTCAAAAAGTTCCTTTTAAATGATTTAAGGGATTTAAATAAACGAATAAAATAAAACTCAATGTTAGACTTGTCTTCATATAAGCGCTGGTATTGTGAGCTAATTCATAACCGATTTTTTATAAGTCAGTCCAAACCGGTATAAGCGACCTCTTTATAACCCGATCTAAACGGGGTTAGATCTCCGAATTAATGACCCTTGGCCGGATAGAATCCGGCTTAATTCCGGTGCTTAGAACAGGCTGTTGGGAGAACCCCCACAGCGACCATATTTACAAACTGAATGAAGGAGTACAGCCTTGACCTTAATATTGCAGTCGATGGTGTCAAGATTAAGACTGGAAATCGGAGCAGCTTCACTCCTCATACGACCGCGATTATCGCCAAAGTACGCAACCGCAAGAAAATCCTCAAGTCGCTAGCCGCCAGCAAATGTAACTTACAAGGCAATCGATCGGCCGTTCCTTAACTATGCCGTACCAATATGGTCGCCTGGATGCAAAGAAATGGAGAGGAGGAAGCTCCAAACTACGACAGGATGCCTCATGACATCTCCTATCGAACACCTGCATAGTGAGGCCCATATACTCCCAGTTAAGGAGCATTATGAATTCCTCTCTAAACAGTTTCTGCTGGCGTGCTTTCGCAGAAATCAACCTTACAGTCACCTGCTTGGAGCAGACTTGCCTCGTAGAAACATCAAGCGGCCATTCCTCAACTACGTCGATGACATCAGACAAGACGCCGATCAGACTTCGGACGTAACTCACTTCCGACAAGCACTGACCGCCATTCACAGTAGCATTATCAACACCGTCACCGACTTCCTTTCAGTAAATAGCGTACTTGAAGTCAAATCACCACCCATTGCGAACGTAGAGCTCGAGTTGCCGCGAGAAAAGAGAGTGACGCTTGCGCAGCTTCTTTCTGAATATTGTAGCAGTTTCAGCTCCTACTTATCCAGAATAGATCCTGACATATCCAATATATGTCCTTCGAGCAATTGGTCCCCGCATGACACTGTCCACGTCTCCCTTTGGTCCGACCCCGACGAAACAGTACGTTTCTTGGGCCGTTGGATGACGCCAAAAGAAGCTAAGTTTTCTTTACGTGAAGGGTATTACAGCTTCGGCGCAGACGAAGTTTATGTTTCATTTTAGCTACAGCTTTTCGCATCAAGAAGTGTCAAGTTGTCAGAATAAAGTTTAGGAACTTTAAAATATTTCCCAGTATAACTTTAATTGAATTTCTTAACAAGTTCTCGGAGATCTTCTGAAATATTTACGACTTATTTGTGACTGAAAATTTTCATCAATACACAAATGACTAACATAACTTGTTGCCTTTAACACGCAGGAGCAATTTGCACTTTGACACACGTCCTACTTACAATTTATCATTTCTCACTTCTTCTCAGGAGAGAAGAGTCACTCTGTAGTACTGATTTATTGTTTACTTACCGCGTTTTGCCGCTATCGCGTGGCTTTAGAGGACGTGTCACGGACATCAGGCGATCCCATGTCACCAATGTTAGCAGCAAAGTCGATGATTGACAGCTGAATGTGCTGAGGAAGCCTGGAAACGGCATATAAAAACAGCAAAGTGTAAACAGCAATGACAAAAATAAGGCGAATCACGTAAATGCAAACAATGGATGGACAAAATTGTGCACGAAATTTCAATAAACATTTGATGGCCTTTCACAGCGAGTTTACACTGTGTTTACGCATGTAATTGTGAGTGATAGATGAGGATAATGATAATTTTTTACTTTTAGCTTATTGAATATTTTTTTAAGATACCAAGTTTTTAATTTTTTTTTTAAGTCTTTTTCTTATTTTAGTTTTAATTTTTGAAAATTTTGTTATTTTTTTTTCTTAATTATTTTTAATTTTTTAAAATTTGTTTTTTTTCTTTATCATTTTTTTTAAATTTTTTTATAATAGTTTTTATTTTTTTCACTTAATCCTTCAATTCTTTTTTCCTTAATTTTTTAAAAATATTTTTTAATTTTTTCAATGATTTCTCAATTTTTTGGTATTTAAATTACCATTTTTCATTGCACTTTGTTTCTTTCTTCTAAAACTCGCCACCACGCACTCAGTGTGCGTACTCACCCGAGAAATCACACCAAACACTTTGTCGCCATGCCTCATCGTAGAAAATGTATTTGCCGCGAAATTTAATATCCGCACAAGCAATTATCGTTAAGTAGATGCCCATGAGGAAGTCGCTAGCGGCCAAATGACGCAGATACAATGAGTGCTCCACATTGCTGCGCGATTTGTAAAAGTAGCGGCCAAGCAGCACAAGCAGGTTGCCGACGGTGGCGACAAAGGCCATTACCCACACACTGTCAACGCGCAAAGATGATAAAAAGTTAATAAATCGCAAGTGTTAATGTCCATATTTCGTATTAAATATTTATATTAGTGAACAAACTTCGTCTAGAGGCACCCTTTATAATGGAAACGCCTTAACATTTAATACAATTTTAGTTACTGAACTTGAAGTGCGTTAACTTTCACTTTTCCGGGCGTCAGCTGCTCGCCGCATAAACTTTTCAGTCAGCAAGCCATCAAATAACAAAAAAATAAATAAAAATATAAAAACAACAAAAACACTGTAAAAATATTTCAGTTTTTCTAAGCAAAGTTTTTTGCTACGCTGAAAATTTACAACACGTCCGCGAAACTTTTAGTTTGAGAACACAATTTTTCGCTTGTAGTGTGGTGTCCCGCTTATTTGTCTTGCGCTTTGTCAGTCAACAGCTGGCAAATAGATCCAGCACGTGCGAGGCTGGCGTTATTTGTTATTGTGCCACCAGCTAAATGCTTAGCGTTACATTTAGTTCATATTTGCCTTTTGTTGCGCGTACGTGTTTGGCGGAGATATATCTTTTGAAGTAACTTAGCACTTGTTACCTTTTTAAGGTTCACCAAATGGTGGAAAAGTATGGGAATGAGGGCAGGAAAAGATGCCGGAAATACTTTCATTATCTAATTTGCATGCTGAGAGCGTCAGGTGCTCTTTTAAGTTGAAGGAAAAAGATAATCAGTAAAGTATTTGTTTTGGCTGCCATGGCGTATAATTAACATCAAGTAGTTTACTTCAATTTGCTTGGCAGCAGCGGAATAAAAGCAAATCTATAAAAATATATGTGAATGTGTATAAAAATATCAATTTACTCAAAGCTTCGAATTCTAAACGTGATGGCATTGGCTTTATACCTAATTCCAATTTTTATTTGCTATGACTACAACTCAAAAGACAATGCGATTTGACGTTAATGGAAGAAGATAAAATGTCATTATGCTACCTAATAAGCAAAAACGAAAAATAGTATGCTATTTCTTCACAGGTTTAAATTTTCTCTACAAGAACTTGATTCTAAATGTTCAATTTATATGACGGATATATGCTGTAATCAACCGATCTAAAATTTTTTTGTAGATAATATATTAATAAATTAGACAATAATCCTTGCGAAATTTCTTGAGACTATCTTGTCAACTAAAAGAGTTTTCCTAACAAGAACTTGATTCTAAATGTTAGGAAGATTTAGGAAAAAAATATTGCAATAGTTTCCAGTAGAAATGAGCTTGTTAGGGTGCAGTAGAAAGCCGTTCCAGGATCACATAAATTTAAATTCACCCCTAACGTATTAAAAGAGGCACTTTGGGTGGCCCACAAAACTCATTAAAGACTATCTGACGCAACCTCCTTTCTTGAAGTGATGCAATTCGTGTCCCTTCTCCTCTATGCATTTTCAATTACTCAGTATATGCTTAAAATAACCGTAAATATGCACCCTTTAGCCACGCTTGCACTTACCTGCCGCGCAATATTTGATTATCCAACAAGTGGTAAGTGCTGCTAATGCCATCGCCACGCGGCTCGCAGACGCGCACATGCAGAGCGGCACGACACAAATGGAACCACGAGAAGTAGCTGCAACAAAGTAAACAGAGATATCGATAAAGGCAGAGGGAAAAGGACAGCTGTCTGCCATTTGCTGTGGCATTGAGAAATGAAATCGAGTAAGAAGTCAACATTTGCACAGCGGCAGGGCGTGTGGCGCAGGCAGTGAATGCCTCAGCAGCTTGGCAAGGCATATAAACTGCTAAGGCGTTGCACTTGAGCACACACACGCAAGTACGCTATGTATGCAGACACTGTATTATATATTGCACTACTCACATATAATTCAAATTGGTTAGATTCTGCAAGACACGCGGATCCAATGTCTTGAATTCATTGCCCGTTAGCAGCAGCGATGTGAGATTCTGCATACAATCGAAGGCGTCCAACTCAAAGTGCGCCAAGCGGTTGTCGTTCAGGTGCCTGGCGGAAGAGAGCATGTTGAAAAAGTATAGAAAATGCAGATTATGCAGGCAAAGCAGAAACAGCTCGAAATGAAAATCATTGGACTAAAGCCACAAGCTATCAGACACAAGCCACCGTTAGCCGTCTAGTTAATGCATCTGAATAAAAATACGTATACGAATTTGAGTCTAGTGTATATGGCCATGCATGACTTTCAACGCCACAATCAGCAACCTTTTTCTTTTTCAAACAGACTAAATTTCACATGAAAGAAAATTTAAAACAATATAGAAACTTGCAGCGGCGAGAAGTTATCCTATAGTGGAAAAGGAAATGGACTGAAAGAAAACATTAAAGGTTAAGCTTCCAAATACTAGCTTCTAAGGATTTTTAATACTCTTAGTGAAAAATAAAGATAAATAAAAACACAAAAGCATTAATTCCTGCCACACCGAGGCTATAAGATCCTTCACAGGTGTATTTTTTACAGCATTAAAGCGAATAAAAAGATCTTAGGCTTGGTTTTGGTCGAGCAGTTTGCATGGCAGCTATATGCTATAGTGGGCCGATCAAAACAATTCGTTTGGAAATTGTAGGGCTAGCTTGGAATAAAATATATGCCAAATTTCGTGAAGATAACTCTCTAAACGAAAAAAACTTGCCATATATGCACTTTATTTCGATTGTCCAGTTTGTATGGCAGCTATATGTTATAGTGGTTCGATATCGGCAATTTCAACAAATGAGGAGTTTCTTTGGAAGAAAATAACGTGTGCGAAATTTCAGATCGATATCCTAAAACCTAAGAGGCTATTTTGGATATTTACATGGATTCAGCTGTGAAGATTACAAGCTACATGTTTCGAAGTTATGATAGACAGAGAAACGTATAAGCTTTAAAATGGCTCCAGAGGATCTCTGTTAAGCTTTTATTGGAAAAAAATACTAATACATGCTTAACAATTGATGACAAGAGTCAGACGTGGTACACAACAAGTCACGTGCAACATGTCAGAAATTAATAATAAAAAGTAAAAATAAAGAAGATAAAAAATTCAAATAAAATTGTAAGCATAAAATAAAAAGTGTGAGCTCAATGTTAAGAAAATGTGCACCAAAAGCCATTCAAAGCTTCCAAATACATAAAGCCAATTGTGAAAACGTTTACAGCTCAATGAATTTAAGCAGCTTGTAGAAAACATAAACAAGCGAATTTTGTAACACATAGCTCTTTTTGTTACACAAGCTTGTTTATATAACTAAAAAAAAAACAAATACACAACATTTCATGATTTGCTGCCAACATTTTTAACGCCTTACTTATGTTTGATTTAGGAAAGCAGGTATGTGTATCTTATTCACTTCAATTTTACGCTCTCTTGCCGCCGCCTTGGCCACCGAATGTAATCTACGAAATCCAATTTGCTATTGATTGCCTATTATCGCCATGTTTGCCAAAAGAAAAGCGAAAAAATCTTGTCAAAAGGGAGTGGTTGGGTCCACGAAGCTAGGCTATGATACCAGCGGGTAAATACCATGCGGCAACAGCTTATCAATCTTCAGCAGCTGCCACAACCAAAGCGGGCCCACAAATAGATAAGGATGGTTAAAAGGTGGCAAGGCTCGAGGAAAAAGCTCACAAATAAACATTTGCTAAGCTATAAGTTGTTCATGTGACCTTCAGCTGCTGATCTGTAGCTTCGCATCAAATATACTTTTCGCATTATTTTTCTTTATCCTTTAAAGACCACGCAACTTGTAGCCAAAAAGCGTAACCTGTTTCTTTTATCTTCACCCTAATATTATCATAGCAATGGCCTATGGCACAGCATTGGCCATGTGTTTTTCCAATTGTATTGACATTGACGTGCCGTCAGCATTGATCTGCATGACACACACATACACACTACAACAGCGACGTGTTTAACCTTACGAATCCCTGCTTTCATTTGCTTTGAACTTAATGTTTCGCCAAACGCCCTTGAATATGCGTATTATTACTAAACAAAAAATGTGCACTTGACGTTTAAGAAATTTGGCGTCGGTTCGCCTAAATACAACGCATGTATGGGATAATACGCCTGAAACTATGCTTTGAGACTGACGCTAACATTAAAGAATTTCAAAGTACGTACGCCACACAATTCTTCGATTGCTTTAGTCGGCTACGCTTTGGCATTTGTTTAGTATGGCTGGCACATAGTGGCTGTGTGCCAATTCGTAGGTTGCGTATACGCCTCAGTGGCCATGAAAATATCGTGCATTTCTTGTATGGGAAGTGCGAAAACACATGCATACAAGTTTAAATTTTAGATAAAATTAAATATATATAGAATATTGGAAATTTTGTCTCCGTAAATTTCTTATACTATTCCATATTAAATTTGAAAGACGGGGGGCCTGTAAACAGAAACTTCCAGTTCGAAATTTCTTTGCTAATCAAATTGCCGCTATCAGATTTCACCAGTAATGGCCTGCAACTAAATGCCGAGAAAACATAAAACATTTCAGACTCAAATTGTCGTTTACACTTATTGACACTTTATAAAAAACTGGAACATTAACTGAATGAAAATTGCTCAAATTGAATTTCAACTTTATCCAAGTACCTGCAGGCATCTAACACGTCTGCACAGCTTGAATGTATACTACATATACACATACATAAATAGATATCAATTTCATTTCCTAATGGACAACAAACAAAGCATTACGCTGATTGAAGAACTTGTCAATTCATCGCACTTGAAATTCCACAACCTAATCTCAACAAGTCTATTTTTAAAGTTGTCTCTTATTTAATAAATATTATTGCTATGTATCGGATTCTTCCTTCTTTAAGTGTGTAGGAATTTTGGACATTTTTTTTTTCTTATGTACGGTGATGATAAATTTACGCAGTTTTTACAGTTACAGTTTACAGTTAAATCTATTTTCAAACATCAATTTACCGCAATTTCGAGATAAATATGAGTTTCAACCTTAACCACAACCTCAACATGTTATATATTTCAAATTCAATTTCAACCTCAATCACAAACTCACCTTCAATTTCAGCATCGTTATGAATTTCAATTTCAAACTCACCACGAACCTCAACCTCAGCTTGGACCTTACTTTCGATTTCAATATCGACATGATTTTCTACTTCAATTTCAACTTCACTTCGAAAGTCACCCTCAACATCAACTTAATTCAATTTTAACTTCTACATCAACATCCACTTCAATCTGAATTTCGAATTTAATTTCAACATCGAAGTTAATTTCAACTTCAATTTCAACCTCAACATAAATTTCAATATCGACGTGAGTCTCAATTTCAACCTCACTACCAAACTCTACCTCAATTTCAACCTGAACTTTAAATTTAAATTCAGCATCGACGTTAATTTCAACTTCAAACCTCAACATCAACCAGAACTAGAATTTCAACGTCAACTCCCAACCTCAACCGCAACCTCAATTTCAATCTGAATTTTAAATTCAATTTCAGCATTGAGGTTAATTTCAACTTCAACCAGACTTTCAACTTCAACATCAACATCTACCCCAACTGAAAACCGAATTTAAATTTCAATTTCAACCTCAACTTCAACAACGACATCAACCTAAATTTTAACCTGAATTTCAACTTCAATTTCAAATGTAGACTCAAACTCAACATCAACACCTACCGAAACATCAAAATCACCTTCATCCTCAATAATAACATCAACCAGAATTTCAATTACTACCTCAACTCAACTTGAGTTTTAACTTAAATTTCAACTACCACCTCAACTCAACTTAAATTCAACCTCAACGAAAGTCGTATCCTTATTCTGACCACAATATGTTACGTCATACCATTTAAGATTCATGCAGGTTAATTTCTGTCATCAATATATGCGGAAAAAGCATTAGCTAAAGCCATAAATCACGCTCAGGAGCAAAAACACTTGATACTTGGTACTCTGTGCTCAAACAGTAGCACAATTTCAGTGCAAATGACTAGGTAATTATACAAAAGTACTTCAAATGTATACTCACAGTCCTTGCAGCAGCCGAAGTGGGCAAAAAGTACGTGCTCGCAGCACTGACAGTCGATTGCCAGCTAAAAATCTGCAGAGAAAAGAATGGAACAAAAGAAAATGTGTAAAAATACAAATACGGAATGAACGATTTATGTACGGTAAAACAAAGACAAAATATGCTTGCAAACAATGAAAATGTGCATTTGCGCAGACAAACAAATCTAAATTTCTTAGAAATAATATTTGAGACAATAAACTGCCGAAATTGGAGATTTTAAGAGGCTCTTCTTTTGAACGAATGCGATGCACTGCCAGCTTGTTGGCAGCAGGATGAGATATGTGTGCATACCGTTACGTGTTTACAATTGCTTCATCGTATCTACAACAACAACTGCATTGAAATATTTGAAAATATTTGCCGATTACCACGCTAAATATTTGTGTGTGAATTTCCGCTAACTGTTCGCATAAATGTATCTCTGTGTATGTGCTTGTCTTATGTACGCGCTAGTTTACCAAGCATTTCGCGAGGGGTGCGCCATCAAGCAAATAAAATTGAAAGTATGCGCAAGAGCACATATTTAAGCTATTTCTAAGTGCATGTGCACTGCCATATGCCGGCATACCCCAAAGAGGGTCATGTGTGTGCGGAAAAATATTTTGGGAGCTAAAATCTGCATTTGCATATGTGTCGGAGCGCAAGCATAAGCACTCACACAGCTGCAACTGTAATGCTTGTAATAATACGCGTACACAAATTTGGAGCTTTGTGTACTTAAGTGAGCTATTTCGCTCTAATCCTCCTTTCAGTCCCCCTAACTACACACGCATCCGCGCACCCACTCGCCCACACACATCCATACGATAACTGGCGTAACATTCACCCGACGTTGTTAAATAATATTTATGCAAACGCACACACACACACACACACACACATACTTACAAATGCAATAACCGCGGAAATGTAAACGAATTCCGTTCGATGTCGGCGATGCGATTGTGCGCCAGCGATAAAGTGTGCAGCTTTGTGAGCACCGGGAACATGCCCGGACGGATCTGATGGATGTGATTCTCATTGAGGTAACTGTAAAATAGGAAAATATGTGAAACTGATAAGTGCATTACCGAAAAGTTAAGCAAGTGTGTGTGCAGTTAGTTTACAAAGTAAGACAAATGAAGTATAAATAAACAAAAGACTTTTACAAGAAGAAGAATAAATATGTACTCCTAAAAGGTATACGAAATTTTTACCCATATTTAAATTAACCAATTACGAACCTAACTTTAAACTTAACTTTATCCTTACATTACCCTTAACTTTAACATATCCCCAACCCAATCTTAAAATATTCCTCTAGCTTTACCTTAACCTTAACAATAATTTAAGATTTCAATCTTAAACTTAGTACACATGCTTTTCTTTGTAAAGAGCTGCTCACTTGTGGGAACTGACGATATCGGAGCACTATAGCATATAGATGTCATACAAACTAAAACATTAAACATAAAAATCTCTGTACGGAAAAGTTTTTTTTTTTTTTCAAAAGATATCTTCACAAAATTTGACATAGATCATTCCCAAAGTTAACCGGTCAATCTTCGCGAAAATTATTTAGATCGGACTACTATAACATATAGCTGCCGTACAAACTAATCGATTCGAATCTAGTCTTTGTGAGGAAAACTCTTTTTTTTCACACAATATCTTCATGAAATTTAGCGTGGATTACCGTCGAAGTCCACAGTACAATACCCGAAAAAATGTTTATGATCGTTTCACTATAGCATATAGCTGTCACACAAACTGAAGTATCAAAATCAAAATAATGTTCTTTTTATACACTTTTATGCCATAAGAAAATCTCTTATAAAAGATATTATATCCTCGTCGCAACCGAATTTTTCTTATTTTGGCTTCAATTAGTAACTTCTAATTACGTTGTTTTTCCTTTGCGCTATTATTCACATTTAATTTTTAATCCGCTTATTTCAATTTATTTCAATAAAATATGAGTATAAAAGAAGATTAAGCAAATTTTAAATACCTGGCAACACTGGATCGGAATGAATTTAAAAAAAATATTAAATAGCAAAAATAACAACGCCTCTTTTCGCCTTTCAAATGTAGCACAATGTTCTCGGCTATTTCCCCGCCCACACATACTTATTTACATTACAGGAAGTTTTTGAATTTTGTAAAACTAAATAAAACAAATAATTTTAAGCAACAAATTTCACTTGCGTACAAACGCAATTAGTCGTTTGTGCAAATAAATGACTATTTTCAAATTATGCATAAGCACAGCCTGCCATTTTGCGTAAATACCGAACATTTAACATTCAATATTTAAATTTTTGGCGTCTCTAACGGTAATTTAGTAGCGACATTCAATTATGCTGGCGTTTATTTCACTGAGAACACAGGTCACGTTTGCGCCGATAATCGCGGACACTATGCACTTTGTGTAAAAAAGGAGCATTTCATTAATTTACTCTTTTCAGCGCTTAAGTGTGACGGACATTTTCTGAAACACATTTTTGAGTTTTTTCGCAATTTCTTTCTACTTAACAAAAGTCAGCAACATTTCGCGCTTTGATTTTTGCATTTTCATACATTTTGAGCCGACTGAAAGCAGGCAAGCGGTTGTGGGTAATGCTTTCACTTTTACTTATCATCAATCAATCAAAAATAAATACAAGCCATTAGCGCTTTATAAATTGATTTTTTTAGTATTTTCACGCATGTGGTCGCTCGAGTTGCTTGTTGACATAATTGGATAAAAGCAAAGCTCTTCAATATGATGACAATTATTTGTCACATTTTTTTGATAAATGTGGTCTTAAAAAGAAAAAAAAACTAATAAAAATAATACATATAAAAA